GATGCCTTCTTGATGTCGATGTAAGCTTCAAGCAGCTCATACTCGAACTCCCGATGGCACTCTACAATGATTCGAAGCACCAGGATACGATCTATTGTGGAATGAATCCAAATTGCTCCGGCCTCTGGTGCCTCGGTAGGTAGTCTCTGATACGTCTTAGAAGGATGTGAGCGAGAACTTCGCCTGGTATGTTCATCAGTGTAAAGCCTCGGTGATTACTGTAGTCCTATCGATCCCCTGTTTCCTTCCAGAGAGGGATGACGGTACCAGGGCTGCAAGATGGCGGCCAGGATAATGTGAAAACTCCGCGCCGTGGGTTCACCACCAGCCTTTAACAGTTCAACTGGGATGCCACAGATATCCGCTGCTTTACCATTTTCCACCTTGGAGATCACTCCCTTATCTTCAGATAAGGAGAGTGGTCCTCACTGATGGGTGGATTCGGCAATGGGATATCGACACGACCTGCTTCCAATTTAACTGTTGGTAGGTCAACTTGGTACAACTGCTCGAAATGCTCAAAATACTGCAACAGTATGTGAGATGATCTGGCCACTTACCGAGCGGAATTCAGTTGCCTGTAAGGAGGGCTTGGAGTTCACCTTTGTCAGGGTTTGGTAGGCAGAACGAATATCATTTACTAAGAAATAGCTTTCGACCTCTGCCAGACTCCTAATAAACTGTCTCTTGCCTCTTCCAAACAGTGCCTTAGTCCTACGGATCCGTCAGATTGTCGAATCGAACAGAGATTGCCTCGGCAAACTCCCGGGCACACTCCCCCTCCCTCATCCTGTCCACACGAAACCCCTGGTACAGCGATGCGGGTAATGCAGCCAAAGAGATCGACAACATCCTCGTTAGCACGCGTTGGTAGATCCACCTAACTGCAGGGCATATCGGAATGCCGAGTTCTGTGGTACTGATCATAGACTAGTTGTAGCTACACTTGAGAACTCCCCGTCGCGTCGGTCCAGTGATCCCCCTGGGGTGTTTCATGTGGACAGGTTGAGGGAGTTTTGAAGAGGACTCGAAGGGTAGCTACAACTAGTCTATAATCAGTACCACAGAACTCGGCACTCCGATATATCCTGCAGTTCTGGAGTATCCTTCATCGAGTGCTATCGAGGATGTGGTCGATCTCCTTGGCGGCATTACCTCATCGCTGTCGCTTTACCACGTCCAACGGTGCGGGTCAGAACATGGATAAACATACATACATACATACATACATACATACATATATATATATATATATATATATATATATATATATATATATACATATATATATATATACATATATATTATATATTATATATAATATTATATATATATATATATATATATATATATATATATATATATATATATATATATAATATATACATATATATATATATATATATATTATATATATATATATATATATATATAATATATATTATATATATATATATAATATATATATATATATATATATATATATATATATATATTATATATATATATATATATATATATATATATATATATATATAATCATATACGTATGCGCGCACGCAGACACACACACGCATATATATATATATATATATATATATATATATATAATATATATATATATATATAATATATATATATATATATATATATATATATATAATTGCCGTCTCAAAAAGATAATGCAGGTATTGTTTTTGTCCTGACAGCAGGCGATTGACCAAAGCTGCTTTTAAGTCTGACGCGGAATTTGATGTTCCATTTCCTATTTCTGTTCTTTCGAACGGTTTTGATTTCACAGACGACGACAAGCATGGAACAGAAGAAACTGGTTTGCAGCAGAGCTAGCTTAGAGTGCTATTCTATCAGATTAATTATCTCAATTATCAAAGTTGAGCTTTTGAAAATCTTTATCAATTGTCTCTTTGGATTTATTTCATGCATGCCCTGTAAACGAACAGATTCGAAGAATTAGGAGACTTGTTCAGATCAAAGGAAATTCGAATTTCCTGAAAATGTTGCAAATGTAATAATTGATAGTCAAATGAAAACTAAAAGTTTTCTCTCACGTGAATATAAAATCTAGCTGTCACATTTGTCAAGTTTTTAAATTAGAATTTTAGGCCTTATTCACATCTTCCTTGCAAGATTCAATCACATTAATACAAATCAGATGGTTATCTTTTATATAATTTTACATTCCTGTTGCTTCTTTGCCCCTCCATATTTTTACCTGTGAAAGTGCTGCCTTGTCTTAACAACTATTTGCTAAATCAAAATACCACTTAAACCTTTGGGTAGAGTGAAGCACAATACTGTTATCTTCACAATTAAGGCCTTTCATTTGCTATACTTAAATGTGAAAAGAAGGTCACAATACATTATCAAATTGCATTTATTCATATTTATCTGTTAAAAGGAAATCAAGTAATCCTGTTCCCCCTTCACTCCAACTGTAGTGTGGCCGCCACTCCGCAGACTCAGCCCTTTCCTTTTCTCCTTCAGCCTTGGGAGAAGGAAGAAAAAAATAAGTGTGTGACTACTTTATAGAGTTAAAATATGTTTCTAAAGACATTTTAAAGATTACAATTTTTTTCTTTCATTAGCTATTACAAACCTTTTCACTATATTTACCTGTGTAAGAACACAAATTCTCCCATTTTGTTTCTAGTGAAATTGCCAGCATATGGAATGAACACTTTTCACAGCTTTCAACCTGTTGAATTGCAACTAAATTTATTAGATTTCCCACAATTACACAGAAAAATTATTTTTAATAAAACTATTTGGAAAAAGCGGATTTTGAATAAAGGTATTTGGAAAGCTTGAAACAAGCAAGTTTATCAATATTCACTGTGGTGTATTTATAACTAATACTTTTTATTTCCCATCATTCAAAAGAAAGGACTTGTACTTTAAATCATAGTCAAATCCTTCCCCAAATTTATTTATAATTACTTTTATGGGAGGTTTTACCGAGAATAAGGTAAAATAACACCTGTTCTCAAAAAGGATAATGAATTACAAAAAAACACTGAAGATTAAATAATAATCTGGGAGGGGCTCTAATATAATATAGCCAATCGACATTTATATCATATGTTTTTTTTTTTTATTATTTTTATTACTATTAGTAATAATTTCATGTCCAATCTTCTCATTTCAAATGTGTAAACTGTATGTCATTAAAATTCCGTATATTATGTATTATATTTTAAATATTAAGATACAAATGGCAATGTTTCATTTAACTTTTTTTTTTTCTAATAGGGCTTATATTCTTATACTTTAATGCAAAATAGTGATAACAAAATCACGTTTGATACTCATTGCAACCCTTGGATACAGGACTAACTTTCTCTCACAATTAAATCTAGTAATTCTTTTTAACAAAGTAAACAAAAATAAGTCTACTAATTCACTGCAGTTCTAGAAAAATTAACTAACCTGTCTCATGCAGGGCACAGTACACATTCCTTCTCTTCTTTCTTACCCAGACTTGTAAACAGCCTTTCAGGAAGTCTTGCATAATGATCATACATTCTATTAATCAAAACAATAATTATACAGTGTTTATGGACTACTTAAAATTGATATAAACAAATTACAAAACTTCTAAATGAAGATTTACCATTTATCTTCTATGGATTAGCATCATCCTCAACCCAAGTCCAGTATCTGTAATCAAAATACAGTCACATATCTGAAGACTTTTCTTACCTATTTACATGTCCAGCCAATCAGTTATATAATAATATAAAATATTATATTATAATAATAAAGATTATATATATTACCTGCACTTGTTACATATATAATTATGACATTTTTACTCCATACCCTCTTCACAGCCAACACCTATGATTTCTGAAACATAAAAATTTATATTTTATCTTTATAAGTTATGTAACAGATACCTTACAGATCAATGCAATACAGACCAGACAACTATTCAGAGGTTCAGAATATTCATACTCACCTTATTTAAAAAAATATAATATCACTTTGTAGCTCTGCTCTTAAATCTACAAAATATGAATTCTATTAATTTATTCATATTTTGTATTCAACAGCAAATCTTTCTGCAAAGGGAATAATCATGTATTAAGAAATTGGGTCAAATGCAAAACAGCCATAGTTAACGGGGCATGGAGGGGTGGGGGTGGGGGGGGTGGGGTGGGGTAGGTGGGTTAAAACTAAATTTCCTACATTTTAGTAAGGTTTAGTACAGTTTAGTAAAGATTAATATAATAAGGTTATTCAATCACCTACTAAACTATCACAAACTATTATACTTGGGAGTTCATGCAAATACAGTTAGTAATGCTACAACAACACATTTCTAATCATATAAATCTGAAAATGAAGTGTATTCACATCAATATTAAATGCATAAACATAATGTAAAACACAGAATAAAGATTATCAATACCATACAATACAAGGTCATGACATCACATGTATCCACATATGAAATACAATTATACATTTCACTGCTTACCACAATTATATTTAAAATACTTCAAAAAAGATCATTACACATACTTGGGTCAAACACCACATACACGGATGGGCTAAATCAACTGTAGATCCCCTCCTTAGAAGACAGGAGAAAATTATGAAAAAAAATTTGCCCTCATCTTTACATCCACAAGACATCGGGATCTGCTTCCTGACATGCATCAAGAAAACAGCTCTGTGAGGATGTCAAGTCATGTGAACCAGTGTCATATCCAGCTATTAAAAGTCAACTATACCATATTGTATTAAAGACACTTAAATGCCAAGTTTGTAGAGCAACATTTTTACTTTTGTTAATATATAACTTTACTTTAATTATTATAAAAAGTCATATCAGATAACCAGCCATATATACAACTTAATATCTTGCTAAAACCCTCACTTTAGAAAAAAAATACCCACTCTGCAAAGTCAATCATATCAATAATTAATTTTAATCTCAGTCTGCTAATTAATCAACTGTTCAGAGAACAAATTTCATACAAAAAGGAAATCATTACACTTTCCCATGTAAAGCCACAATATTGTTCTGAAATAATAAATATTGATTAAACATTCCATTGCTTTATCCATTTTACTAATCACCTTCTCTCAATCAGAAAAGCATTTGAGCTATTGGAAGTCAAGAGAACAATACCAATAATAATCTGAAAATCAGAATTCTCACTTTTATTACTTGAATCCAGGAAGAAAGTATAACCTATACGTTTTTTCATTTCACATCATTCATTCTATAATCGCCAAAGTTTCACTTTCATAGTATTTCATATAAACATTTTTAAGCTTCATACTTTCTACTTACCTCCCTCCACTGGAATTTATTTCTTGCCTTTCCAGCACTGGATCTCTTTCCTTCACTTTATTTGTCACTGCATCTGTCAAAGCACTGCCTTGGTTGAAGTACTCGATCATTAATGTGATTTATCCTTTCACACACTTATCTAGCTAAATGCTTCATGTCAAAGGTTCATTTAAAAATTATCTTTGCATATCGAGTCCTTAGGTCATGTTCATATGCAGAAATGTGTATCCTACTAAAAGATGGTTTATTTATCTTTACCTGTTAAAAAGGGGCAAAGCATGTCATTAATTCCTCAAGTATGCATGATATTGAATAATCTTTACAAGGTTCATCAATTACATTAAACAAGGTCCTAATATATTGATAATACTTAAAAAGTAATGTATCATGGCACTTCAATTGTAATTTCAATTTTGCAATATTCATAATATTCCCCCAAAGAACTTTAGTTTAAATATTTGTTCATTTGACAAAGATGGATTTATAAGATATTAAGCTTGCAATCTATTGTACTGGAACCTCTTGAAAGGTCAAACTTTATACAGTTCACATTTACAAATCATACTATAACTTAACTTTTCTAAGAGTAAATTGCTAATGCATTACTTTACAAAAAAAAAAAAAAAAAAAATCTTTATTTCATAATATTAGGATCTCAATTACATAAAAGCAGTATCACTGTACTTTCACTGCTGCATTTCAATTCCTACACTGCCTTTACTCATTCCTCTTCACTGTATTGCTTTGTCTTAGAATCAATTTAAACCAAATATCAGTGATGCCTCCTTACAAAATACATATTTTCTATATTTTTGTCCTTTGCCATACTTACTTATGGAATAGCAAAATGGGGCCACAGGTTATCCCTTCGTCTCCAGTCGCTGTTCGTCCTTGAAGATGGACTAGGCTCCTCCAGCATATGCTACCTGCTTGTCTGAAAAAAAAAAAAAATTACCTTCATTCATAAATTATTCAGATCATAGGCCCATATTTCAATATAAAATACATTCCCTTAATGCTGTTAGGATGCTTGCTCTTTATCACAACTATTGAAGTATACATTATATTAAGAACTACATTTCACATTCTTAACATCAATCAAGTTCCTTTGAAGAAAGTATCATACACCTGTATCATACCTACAATTCTTTCTTTGTCACTAATCTTCACAGAATCTGTTTTTGCTACAAAAAAATATATTTTATGTCTCATTCTTCCTCATATGTAAACAAAATAACATTTATTGACTGGAATGTGACATTTGGTCTAACAGCCAAACAGGGCCACAAAAGGTAATTTAAGCAATTTTCTTTACCTGTTTAAGGAAAGAGACAATCAAGCAATCTTTCCTCTCTTGCTGCAGTGAGGCTTTCACTCCTTGGACTTCCCATTTCCCTCCAACTCTGACAGGAGAAAAAGCTTTTTACTCAAAACAATGGTATTTATACACCTATAATTTCTACAAAAAAATATGTATTTTTTTAAATCTGGATAGACATAAGGATCACAATATTCATTTCTAATTTGTGCCTATCAAACAATCTACTCTTATTATATCTACATGTGAATACACATGAAATATGTTCTGTACCTGCTGTATTTGTGTTGTCTTAAGAGTAATAGAGACTTCAAGATCTTGGATACATTGGAAGTAAACATTTACTGACTAAGCATAGTTCACATATAGAATGTTAATTACATATCTAGGTGTATATATAACAAGAAATGTTTAATACTGACAGTCCTAAAAAGGGAAAACAGCTGTTGCTACGCTTACAAAGAACTGGTGCTCACTCTTTAGTTAAAATGCACTGCCAGATTGCCACACAAGAATGGTGCTCATGAACTGATATACACATCCTTCTGGCTAACATTCTTGATGATTTCTCCAACTTTTTGTATACACTAAAAATCATATGTATTCTCTTTCTATGACTGTCAGCTTTTATTTGTGCTCTAATAATTTTTACCTGTGCGAGAAATGTAAAGCTATACACTTCCTCCTCTGCCGGACAGCCCTGATTTTATTTCATGTGGGTCTCCATGCATCTGTCCGTTTTGATAGAAAATAGATTTCTTTATTTTTTTTTTATTCTATCATTCAATTTATCATACACCAAATTATGAACTTCATAAACCACCAAAGTTACAAAAATACACAATACAAACCTGCTACCTTTGCAGAACTCAACTCAGTCCTTTGCAAACAGCCTTACAGATTATTTACTTTCCATGCATTAGCGCCACCTTCAACCTCAGTTGTCTCTACCAAACTCATCTGCAAGACATTTTTAATACAATCTTATGTAATCCAAATACAATGACTCATTTTTCACTTGCTTCATGACATTTCTTAGCAGTCAACAACAATAATTAAGAAAATTGAAGTTTTTACTTACCTATATTACACAATGTATAATTCTATCATTCTTACTCCTTGAATTCCTTTACATCCTACAATTCTCACTGCCTGGTAGAGATACAATTTACTTATAAATAACAGCTTATACAATTTAGAGATCATGCACCACTTTTCCAGGATTCAGAATATCTATCTAATACTTACATTATCAATAGAAATTCATATGCCCCTCTTGCTGCTCTGCACTTCCCCTACTAGTATAAAAAAAAATACATTTCATTAATTATTCACTTCAAAATTTGATGTTATAAATACCCACTGTATCAGTTATATTCATATCAATAAAAAGATACCATACAAGGACTTAGCTTCATTCAATAACAAAATATGTCGAGTTGTATAGGAGTAGCGATTAATACTACAGAAACAGAAGAAACCCAGTTCACAAACCTTCAGCCCCATCCAGGTTAGTCAACTTTGGCTAACAACTAGGAGAAATATCTGCTTTAATACTTGTCTTCAATTAGCTAGAATAATCTGCACTTCTACAATAAAACCACACCTAAGTCTAGTTGCATTTATATAGCTTATTAATATAAAATAAATTGGTCCATGATAATTCCCAAGTTCATAGATTATAACTCAACATTTTATCTGATAATCAATTTTACTTCTGTAAATATATTCTTGCTCCTTCCATACATTTTATATTATGCTGCAACAATATGGATTAGTGTTCTAAAGATATATTATGTATAAAATATCTATTATATATATGCATAGATATGTATTCCTTGGCCACTTTACCTATGCAAAAGAAAATGATCCATCTCTTGGGTTGCTCTGCAGTTGTGTGTTGATATATCTTTCAGGTCTCCATCCCTGTACAGATGGAAATTCATTGATATAGTGGTCCATTGTGATCATTACATTACAATTACAAATATTGGATTCTCAATCACATCATTTTCAATTACACTATCTCAATAAAAAATAATTTATTCAAGAGTACCTTAAGCGAATCTTCACAAAAGTGATTTGCAAGGGTTTGCCACATCACTTAACATCCCCCTGGAACTGGTTTGCAGGGACTAGTATGTGCACACATCTCGAACATTGTCCATGTTTGTGGTGGATGGTTCAAAGCAAAACAGACCCATTCTCATTAGTTAATACAGGCAACAAAAGAGCAAAAATTAAAATAAATGTGAAAAACCAAAAAGTATATTTTTCCTTACAAAACAAATTCATCCATATCCTGGGGATCTGGAATACAAAATCTAAACTGTTACTGGACTGCATCCTTAACAAATCATGTAAAATATATATATTTCAGTATGCCATCAGGTACCAGCACACATTTCTAAAAAAAAATTAATTTAATAATACATTGCTTATTTTCTGACTGGAACACTATTCGTAATTTCAATAATAATGATTAAAAAATATGGGTACGACATAATCACAACACTTATAATGATTCAAATGCTTACATTAATAGGAGAGCAATATTGAATGTTAAACTAATGCTGCTGTGAAAAATTATTGCTTTGTGAAATCATCAACACTTAAGTTGTGTTTAGTCAAGCAATGATTTTTTTATCCAACATTTTGGAGTCTTTCACAGTTTAAGCAACAGTTTAGTGGCCATACATACCTGTTGCTAGAGGCCCACCTTGTGTCCTGTGCTTTTTTCACTGGAGAAGCTGAACTGTTTAGATTTTACAATGGAAATGCATTATATATACATACATGTCTACATAATTTGGTTTATAACAAGCCCTATGAAAACCCATGAACATGGATATTATTTTTGAATACTGAGAGAGAGAGAGAGTCTATGCACACTTTTATACCGATGAGTTTGAGAATGTTCAAGGAACAATGTCCATAATCAAATGCCATACACACTTGCAACAAGCAAAATTCCACATAGGTGTACATGGGCGCTCATTCCCCTGGTGACTGCGACAAACCTTGAATTATGCCCCTTTGTGCAATGCACTTCTCAGACAAATTTTTAGGTACTTACAAAAATCTGGATACTACAGGACTATACAATATGATTTCTTAAATCAGCACTTTTGGATTATTACACTACATAAATATAGCCAAAAGACAAATTGGGCCAAATTGAGACAAATTGAGTCTTGGTATAAAAAGGTTGGCCAACCTCTTAAACTTAATATTTTTAGATTTAGTAGATTTAGAATAATCATTCTCAGTCATTTGGTTACTTAGATTATCAAAACAGGTTTGCATTCAATATTTTTCTCAAATGAAGATGAATTTTGCTTCTCTGCCATTTACAACAGTTTTTTCTATCCCAAATACCAACACCAATACCATCACCACTAATACAACTACCACCACCACCCTAACCAATACCACCAATACCACCACCTTTGTCATCATTAAACTCATAACTTTGCTTCCAATATCAGCACTATTACCATTATTGCCAGTCTGTCATCATCAGTATTCCTATTACAAATAAAAAAAAACATTATCACTTATCTGCTTTACCATTACAATTCAGCTGTCATCATTAGCACAATTCATATTTTTTTTTTAGATACCTTATTTTCCTAAAAAATATAAACTTACATAAGTTAAAATATAACTTATACCATGTTGAATAAGAAATTAGAATGCTTGCCCAGACTTTCTCAATACTTTTTTTATTCATTGTTGTTTATTTGTCTTCATGTGTGCATTTATTTGATGAAATTGTGCCTATTTAAGAAATTACAGTAAACTGATTTTTGGAAATAACTCAAATCATTGGCCTTGTCATTGTTCAATTCAAATATTCAAGCATTACGTGCACACCTCATCTAAAAAAAAAAAAAATTGTCATTTCTTTCACGCAGTTCACAGGTAGTGTTCCAAATTGTCACTGGTTACTAAACAATAACCTAATATTAAAGCATTTTAAATAAAGATTTTGAAAAGATTTGTCAATATTTTCCGTCTTTAATCAATAAAAATATCCAGACTGACAATTTAAAAATTAAAGTTATGAAATAAATTGGCAATAATGACAGTTTTAATCATTGTCTTGTTTGAGAATATAAGATTAATTGTTAATGTTCAAAAATGTTAAAGATACCATACCCTTCCAAGTCTTGGAACAAAAAAACTGTTGTAAATGGCCAAGGAGCAAAGTTCTGCCTTAATTACTTCAAGCCATGTTTTGAACAGAAAATCCTCAAAATCATGAAGAATCACATACCACATCATTCCTGCATCTTAAATCTGAAACACTTATGCACATGAATCATTTATACAGTTCTTACTTGGTTTTGTAACTTATTTGTATTAGGATATATACTAACTATAAATGTTGCCCACACCCCATTGCATTTTCTATTAAATATGGAGTGTCTTACAAGAAGGTATATATAATTTATCTGTAATATAGAATGTTTAAGATCCAATGTTACTATGATGGCAACACTTAACAGAAACAATTAAACTAACATGTTACCAACCCTCCATGTGTAATTTGTTAAAGGATGACCCAGATTAAGAAAAAAAACGTGAAGTATCTCTACATATATATATACATAAAATAACTAGAAAATTATTAAATATTTAAATAAAACATTCATTCGATAAAAGTGCATCATTCTATGCCAAAGACATTTTTAAATATACTGGGAATCAGGCCTCTTGATAAAATATTACTATTAGAATAAAGGATATCCCTGACCTCAAAAAATAATCAGAAAATAACCATGTGTAACATTTCCCACAAAACAAAGCTAAAACAAAAAATTATACTATATAACATACTATGAAAAACAAAACCCAAGACACTGCAACAAACTCAGCAGCTAAAACTCCTGACATTCCTGAAATCTATTAAAAAATATTTAAATACTAAAACCAATGCCAAATATAAAAATGGAACTATGGTCAGGCCCATAACCTACACAGTCTTTGTCTCTCTAACAGACAGTGCATAGTGCAGAGTACATCAAATCAGTGTAGTACAGCTCTTGCCAGACGTTAAATATGGATCAGATTGGGTGGTCTAGTTTGATAGCCATGGGTTATGTAAATGTGCATAGTTCATGTTGAAAGGAAAAATTGGGTTATAAAATTTATAAAATAAGTACAAAATCTACAAACAGTGAAGTTGTGTGAACCAGGACATAAGAGCAAAAGGTAAGGGAGGCAAGAAGCAACCACAAATCCTACATGGTTAAAGTTTCGTGCCTCAAGAGACACTGCCAAGAGTACAGCTATGCGCGTTTAATGAGTAACAAGACGAGGAAAATTAAGCAATAGCTTGAATTAAGGCTCTTGAAGCCAAGTAGACAACCTGGTAGCAGAATGCCAGAAAATACATGAAAATAAAACTTGAAGGAATCAGTACATTTGTATAGGAACAATGTTAGAGTAATTAAAAGATGTTTATTACTATAAGTATACCTCATATGTCTATGATATACCTCATTATCTAAACTAAGTTATATTTTGTTAAGTTACCCATATAAAAGTATATTTTCTTTTATGTACGCCATCTTACGGCAAATTTTTATACTCGTGTAATGTAAACGACCCTACGTAGTGCCACGTAGATTCTCCTGAATACATAGAGTTAAGCACATCAACTCTGTTTTACTGATCCCCACAGAAAATCATATATGCATTGACACGTCAAACTTGCTTAATACACGCAGGG